CGTGAAAGGTGGGGGGGGGGCGGGAATTTCGGGCGTGAAAGGTGGGGGGCGGAGGAGGGTGGCATTTTTGAGCCACTTTAAAAACCTTACTTTGTATTTGCACTCTTTATGCAATGTGGCTGTTATTAATTAGGGCGGCAAATTTGAAGGACCACCCGCCCCGGGGGTCACAAACTCTAGCCACTCCACACAGTGTATTTAGAAGCCCCATTTGGTTGATAGATTAAAATTAATATGCAAGTGGACCGGTCCAAATGTTTAACATCCACAATCTAAGTATGATAGGCACTTGTACCACATATGTTCAATATGGACATGCACCACATGTCTTCAATGTGGACCTGTACAACGTGGACCTGTATGACATGTGTTCAATATGGACATGGACCTGTACCCCATGTGTCGGCGGATGTGGATCCGTGTGGGTCTCCCGTGAAGTCAGTGTGGTTCTCCCGTGATGTCAGTGTGGGTCTCCCGTGAAGTCAGTGTGGGTCTCCCGTGATGTCCATGTGGGTCTCCCGTGATGTCCGTGTGGGTCTCCCGTGATGTCCGTCTGGGTCTCCCGTGATGTCCGTCTGGGTCTCCCGTGATGTCCGTGTGGGTCTATCAAACCTATCAAATCGATGAATGTGGTCAAAAGGTCGACTCATGGATTTTACAATCTAAAAATAATTGATATATCCAAAATGACCCCTCACATGAAAAGTTTGGGAACCTAAATATCTAGTGCAAATAAAAACATCAGGTGCCCATAAAGCATGTTGGTTTTTTAATGAAACAAAGATTTAATGCAAATACAAACATAAGTTATATACATTATATGTTATTACAATCTTCTAAATGTGCCAGCTGGCAAGTCAGCTGTCAAACATACAAACTGACATCTTGTCTTTCTACACATTCAGACTGGCAAGTCAGCTGTCAAACATACAAACTGACATCTTGTCTTTCTACACATTCATACTGGCAAGTCAGCTGTCAAACATACAAACTGACATCTTGTCTTTCTACACATTTCTGTACTCATCTACGAAGGTTCCTGGGAAACATAACTACAGATACTGAAAGGAGGCAACCAAACATACAGAATTGGTCAATGAGAAGTGTCCTCAAAGCCTTGGCCCAAGACCTTTAGTTCACTACAGAAAAGACCGTTGAAATACAAGGAGCAGACAATGAATACACTTTCAGCTATACAAGTCCTAAAGATATTTCTGTGCAGGAAATACGGCCCCGTTGCAGCATCTTAAATGAAAACCAGTTTTCCCTTTTGAAACCAAAAGCTGGTTCTTGTTTTTTGTCCACAAAACGGTTAGTGAATTTATACAAAACTCATTAGATCAAATAGAAGAAGAACAAATATCAAGATAACAAAATAATAATAAATTCATATTTCATATTATTAAATAAATAAAATACTTTTTAATTTAAAAAAAACAAAAAAAACATGTTGTATGTAATGTATACTATTGGTAGGGAAAGTGTTTTGCTGTATTGCTGCAAGTATTTATTGTTCGAAAAATATTAACAAGTAGGTAGATTTGCAGTCTCCAATAATTTTGAGCCCCCCCCTCCCCCCCCCCTCCTCTTAAAGAGAACTACAATGTAAAGAAATTTATTGGATGGTACTGTATTTTAAAATATCATGTCGAAATTACATAGCTGTGAGGAAAGGCTTAGAATGCATTTCCAATAGGGGCAGGACTCGAGCCCTGATTGTACAAACTGAAATCCAGTCTAAAAAACAACAAGAGTGTTTTAACACCCCTTTACATGACATACAACTTGTTCATGTACAGGACATACAACTTGTTACTGTTCAAGACATACAACTTGTTTCTACACAGAACATACCACTTGTTTCTGTACAGGACATACAACTTGTTTCTGTACAGGACATACAAGGGATAATGTGGGATTACAATAGCAAGTCGGCTAATAGCACTGTAAGACATCTGAGTCAATGTTATCACTGAACCACAAAATCTCTGCACATTTCAGAGAGTTTGTCTAGTCTTGTACAGTATCAGACATCAATACAAGGCTTAGATATCACAGAATTGTTAGTTGGCTTCATTGGGTCATGGAACAAGGCATTAAGTTTAACTTGCACAGCATTTTCAACATCTTCTTTCAGATTTCCCTCCATCACCATTTAGAGACAGCACTGCCTTGCGGGAAACACTCCTGATCCATTCAGCTACCTTCATGTAATCCATTTCATCTCCAAAAATACAGCACAATTATAGACAAGTATAAGTATATCAATGTCAAGTCAAGGTTTTGTCATTGTTTTTATCAGCCATCCCTTTTGACAGAATATACTTATAAAGGGAATTATATTGCTGTTCATTACAAACACTCGATACATAACTGTTTATGATCTGTTTGGAATAGCAACACTCGCTACATAACTGTTAATGATCTGATTGGAATAGCAACACTCGATACATAACTGTTAATGATCTGATTGGAATAGCAACACTCGATACATAACTGTTAATGATCTGATTGGAATAGCAACACTTAATATAGCTGTTCATCATCTGATGGGTGGATGCTAACAACACACAGCTTGATGACCCGTTGACAGACATTTTGGGACTGTTTCACAAAGAAAATGAACATTTCTGCAGTGACATTTTGGTGTGTTAACCTCGTGATCAAATATCACCATGAGGTGCGGTGACTGTCTGACCATAGTCCATGACAACATGGACAACTAAGGATGCACTCCCAGCCTGAATAGAAATTCAAGCCGTGTTCATCCAAACAATGTCAAAGATGTGATTATAACAGCAACATTTGGTTTGACTCTCTGCCACCAACAGTTAACACCCCAACCCTTGATTTCATTGGTGACTAGTTTAGTTTACATAGACATAAATATGTATATGGGACACTACACAATACAGGAGCTGAATGGCCATTAGCTGAAGGCTGCTTGATATTTAGAAATGACTGAAGTGAGAAAGCTCATGGGGAAAAAACTAAGAGGTCAAGGTCAAAGTAAAACAACTATGGAGACGTTCACACAACTATGGAGACGTTCACACAACTATGGAGACGTTCACACAACTATGGAGACGTTCACACAACTATGGAGACGTTCACACAACTATGGAGACGTTCACGTTTGTTTTGTTTTGTTAAATCATACAAACATGTGTACACTCAGTCTTTACCAAACACACTCATTTCAACTAATGTACTCTCAGCCCATACCAAACACCCTGGGCATTTTTCCAAACACCATACACTCAGACGTACCATATGAGTGCTCTTCAAATCATTTTACTCTCAAAGTTTTAAATAGTTACACTTGCAATATCAGCAAATAAATAATAAAGGCATTAACAGAACCCATTCCTTGCACGCTATGCTAAATAGGCTCTTCTTTATTGTTCTTTTATAAGTGTTCAGGTATTTCAAAGTTTTTTTTAACAGTCTCATAAATGTATATGGTTTGATGGCCATAGAACGACTTCACTAGATAGTTTTTGTACACCAACCTCATGTTAAAATATTTCCAGTATTCAAGAATATTTGCTCGTAACCCAATCATTTTCCTCCACATCAACAACAAACCCAGCAACAGATTTAGAATTTCCCAAACAGAACGCAAATCAACCAAACCATAATATAAAGATACAAGCATCAGACGTATGTAGATCGATCTTGCAATGCACCCCCACATACTTCACACGCGGTTCTTGAAGGCTCATTTTCATACGTGCATTTAGCACATGCTTTTTTTGTCTTTCCACATTCAGGATATGTCGCCTCTGGCCCATGGCGACTGTGTGAGCACATGCTGCACACTGTGTCAGATGCCTTGTTCAGAGCGGTGCACGCCTTGCACTCCCACTGAAGAAGGCTGATGTCCATGCTCCGGGCGGCCCTGAGATAGATGGCTTGTTGATAAGCAGAATCCTTATCGTCGCTGTACCTCAAGGAGCTTGATTTGCTGACTCCAAGCTTATCACGGCGTAGAATGGGTTCTGTGGTAGGAGACTGAACACCGAGTCCTCCTGAACCATTTAACGATCGGCCTATGATGATCCCACTCTGTGATTTGGCCAGTGATGAGGATGTGATGGCATCATGGAAGTCAGAATCTTTTTGCGGTGCTCTAAATGAAAGATTCGGCTTGAGGGCCCTGGATGGCACAGGAGGAGGAGGCCCGGGATTGGGGGGCCCGGTGGCCTGCCTCATGTTTGTGTTCATCATGTAGCCCACTCCAGTTCCATTGTCCTGGCCAATGCTTGGAGCATGGTATATTACAGTCTGTGGGGTCGGAGCGGAGTTAGGTGGATAGTGAAACATTGGGTCTGAGGATGGACCGGTTTTGTAGCCTTGGTCTATCAACGAAGGGTTGTAATTAGCACCAGATCTGTTGGTTATGCCAGCGGCTTGATTCATTGAAGGGTACCTGGCACTGGCAGGATTTGTTTGATAAAGCCTAGAGAAGGATGAGATGTCGATTCCCTCGTCGTCATATGACTCACTCTGAGATGTGGATCCCAGCCTAGAACGTTGATGACCTTGGTAATTAGGCACTGATGTAACCGTGTTAGGGAATTTAGCCAGGTGACCGACAGGTCCCTGGACATATTTCCCTTCATGCCCCAACCATTGCTCGACCTTTGGCTGGCTAGAAAAAGTATTCTGACCAATTAATGCTGAAATATTTGGTTGATGGGTTTTCCGCTGTTCAAGGACTCTCAAACTTTCCATTATGTGTTGATCAGATGTGCCTTGGGGGAGTTCAGGAATGATTTCAACGAAGTTTTCATCAATCACCACTCCAGACACAAGCGGCAACTTACCCTGTACACCACTAGACTTGTTTGGCAATTTCTGCACTCCTTGTAATCCTAGTCTATCCATTGGAGGTGCAAAAATTGCATCTTCATCGAGCAACATTTCAGCTTCATATTTAATCCTAGGGGGCAATGTGCTGGAACCGTTTGAGATGGGTTCTCTTTTGGGTATGGCAGGAGGTCCCATTTCTAAATTTTTAAAACCTGCTGTGACACCCGTAAGGTTGCCATTGACAAAATTCAGAGGGGAGCTAGAACCATAGGGTCTAGTCCATTCACCGCGTGACATATTGGGCATGGCGTGAGATTCATCACGCAGGATGTTGTACATAGCATCCATCAGGCTCATGTTGATGCCCTTGACTTTGCTGTAATACTCTCCAATAATCTGGCATTGTACGAAACCTATTTTGCAATCAAAAGCCAGAAGCAGAAGAGGAAGTTTGTTGTCCATTTTACCTTGATAGGTCATCACAGTGTTGTCCATGCTCATGGCATAACCCGCTCTATGGAAGATCTGCTCACAGTCATGTACCACCGACTTAATCCGTGTTCTATAAAATCCACCGTACATCTGAAAAAAATAGGGGACAGAACTAATTAGTCATTCATTGTCTTTCTTTATCATCAAATCTTTTTTTAAAATCAAATATTAGATAAGTATGTAGCAGTATGATGAACCTTAGATATTAGATAAGTATGTAGCAGTATGATGAACCTTAGATATTAGATAAGTATGTAGCAGTATGATGAACCTTAGATATTAGATAAGTATGTAGCAGTATGATGAACCTTAGATATTAGATAAGTATGTAGCAGTATGATGAACCTTAGATATTAGATAAGTATGTAGCAGTATGATGAACCTTAGATATTAGATAAGTATGTAGCAGTATGATTAACCTTAGATATTAGATAAGTATGTAGCAGTATGATTAACCTTAGATATTAGATAAGTATGTAGCAGTATGATTAACCTTAGAACTGTCAAGTGCATTTTTCTGTAGAGTCAAGCAATTTTTAGCATTTTCATCTTGTCAAAAATGACAAAATGACAAATTTAAATGAATTCGAGACCCTGCAAGTATACATTTTCTGAAGGTACATAGGACAAGGTATCTTACTGTATGAAAAGAATATGTTTTTATATTAGGTATTTCTGTCGTTAAAAAAAAATTCAAGGGAGAAGCCACAAAATTAGTTCATAAATTCATTTGCAAATAAAAATCCAATAAATCCATTTTTTTATTAATTGATAGTCCAGAAAATGCACAAAGATAAATGTCTTTGAATCTCTTTAGGGTAGGTCTTTTGGATCCAATCTTTGTCCTTTCTGTTCAACGCCACCCTTTCCCAAAGAATTTGTCTGCAACCATGTTGACTAAGTGCAGGGCTAAAATAATCAACATCTGACCGCCATCACTGCTACAGCTAATATTGTCTATGCCGGCACGTGGAACATCTCTGAAATCATTGCTTTCATTTGAATCCGTTTGAAATAATTCCAATCAAGACAGTGCGAGCTGAATTTGTCATCTAGAGGTGGGGGGGCGGGGTCCTCTCCAGCATCAGACAATATGGCGGTAAAAACAATATCCCAGCCAATTAATCCCACCAATAAAAGAGCCCTGATAAAAGCATGTTAACACAGGCAGGAACGTAAACAGGAAGCACACTCATACATATATATAGAGTGATTTCCCCTTAACCAATATGCATTACACCATTCGTACTTTTATTATTCATATCAGCCGTGACACCACAGAAAGGGGTCTAATGGCTATTATGACAGTTATAGGGTTAAGGCTGAGGGTGCAAACAACTTTGACACCAATAAATAATTTTTTGAATTAAAAAACAGAATGCGTAGCTTTTATATAAATTTTTTAATAAACTTATTTGAATAGTGCTGTGAAGCTGTTTTTCCAAAAATGGTGGACAGCAGTCCGCAGGCTTTATGTAGCCGGTCCGCGCAACATGAACATTTATATTCTAATAAAAAAAAATTATAATTAATAAATCAGCGGTCCGTGGAACTATTTGAAAACTTGTCCACCAGTGGATCAAACACCAGTGGACCAAACGTTAAGTTTGGGAACAGCTGCTGTAATGATTTCATGAGAAATAAATGGTATTTACCCACAGCTAACCTGAAAAAGTTGCTATGTAAGTAGATAATAGATATAAAATTTTTTTTAAAAATATAAACAAACATCAAATAGACTACGAGTCTCAGAATCCCAGCCCACTAGCAAATGATTTATGTTACATATTTAAATAAGAAAAATTGATTAATAATGACAGGTTTTTTGGCCATTAATTTTACATATGAGCACCCCTTGAGCGATTTGAGTTTTGAGACAGTCTTAATGGTATACCTTTATTTTTCTAAACTCTGGTTTCCATGGCTGCTCCACAAGGAGGAGAAAATATCTCTCCAAACTAGCAAAAGCCCTGGCAATAGGCATGACATCATCACTTTCAAGAGAGAGCAACTTTATTGATGTCTTTAAAATACTCAGCAGGAATGGATTAGTAACAAGATTTTTTGCAGGAGTCTGAAAAATAAATGAGGACATTACGGAATATTATAGATATCAAAACTGTGTAAATGGGATTTTATTACAATTATATAAAGATAAATATAATAAATAAATATGGGTCAATCGGATTTCTTACAAAATAATCCTTATAAAATAGAATAAAGGATGGATCTATTACAGTTTGACTTTATTTAAGGATTCACATCAAATAAAGATGGATCATCCACTCATAAAATGTTATTCACAGAAAATAAAGGTGAATCTAATACCTCTTTGACTGCAATGTTGATAAAAGTATTTATGCTACCATTGAGCTGCTCTTTGTCCACATCAGTCAGTGAAGCTTGATGTGTGTGTAGTTTGATGTACAGCCTGCGAGCTTGGTTAATAATACTTTGCTCTTGTATCCCTTGTTCCATCGTCGAGAATGACTTCAAACGACTTCCTTTTTGTGTTAGGATGCAAGCGGTACCAGCAGTATAAAACCGGACCAAACACATAAGCTTGAATGTACTTCAAACACCTTTTTGTTTCAGAAATTCAACTGATGCTGAGTTGTATAATAATTTGATAAAGTCAGTTGCTAACCATTGATCCAGCACTGCACATTTTTATAACCATAAACATTGCCTTTTCCAAATGCATTGACAACATAGGCCCACTGTAGCATTCAAAGGGTCCAAGCAGTTATAAGAGCAAAACTGCAAAATTCCTACTGTGACCTTCAGTGGCCTCATCTTGGGTTTAAGCTGAAAATTAAAACAAACAATTTACACATAACTATAGTTTTGTAGAAAGGTGGATTATGATAAATCTTTTGTCTTTTGAATAAAATTATTAATACATATTAATTGTTATTAGTCAGTAACAACCTAATAAGACTAAAAATTGTAAAAAAAATATTTCAAATTCAAAGTAATGCTTGATTATTAATTGAGTCATTTAATAGTAATAAGTCCTAGGTCTAGGTTATGTATTAGCTATTATTTACTTTGAAATAGTAGCATGAAATACTATCATAAAACAAAATGAATTATAGACTATAGAAATTTGAGGTACAAGTTACAACTTTTGTATTTAGAGGACACATCTATTTGGAGTTATTCAGTTCAGTTAAGAAATTTGAGTTCATGTTACAAGTGGCCTAAGTGGGCAGCAAAGTATCTTGATATTCTTGTTTAGACCATGTCATGTTGTGTGTTAGAAATGTAGTCAGCCTAAGCCTTGCTGATAAATTCTATTATTTTTAATGAAATACTATTAAATAGGCCCATGCCCATGAAAAATAGTATTTTACAATTTTCAATTTTGGAGCTCCTGGTGTGTCATGTCAAGATAAGTACCCACTAACACTAACATAACATTATTAAACATCTAAATGAATGAAATAGCAAAACAAGGTATGTGGAAGCTTGAATTAATTAGACAGAGAACAGGACAAAAAATAAGGACGTTTCGGCATATAGGCCTTCTTCAGCTAACAGTAGAAATGAAAATATAACAAAGAACAGAGCACAGTAAAAAACCTCGTTTTGCTATTTCATTCATTTACTAGGCTTGAATGCAGTCCTTTATTATTTATATTAAACATCTAACTAAGATAAGATTCTTTTATTGATCCAAATAAATGGAAATGTTTTTTGATTGCATTATACATTTTCAGCACAAAAATAAAAAAAATTTGAACACAAGACATTTATAATAAATTATTTCAAACAGCCATTCAGTGAGTTCTCTTAGCAAAATCAGGGACTTTTTAGTTCTCATTCAGATGTGTGACTTCAGAGGAAGCACGCCGGTAAATTCGTACAGATTGGGGATCAATAGAATTTTTATATTGGTCAGTCCTCGCCCTGATGGAAAGAATTCGTCTCGAACAGCCCGATCTTAAGTATCTAGGATGAAGAGGGTGGAATGTATCATCCAAAATGTGTTTAGTTTTGCAAAAACATCTTTCTTCAAATAGTTCTTCAAGTGAAGGATGTTTAGTTTGTTTTATGTTTCTAGCTTTCTTGATTAGTCGGTTTATGCGGTGTTTAATATCAGACACTGAATTCCCACACAAGCAGGTAATACTGAAATTAAGCAGGCTTCCAATAGTTGCACTGTAGAATAAGTTAACGACTTGCTTGATTACGCCACCGAAATTGTACAGTTTTTTTTAGGTAGAACAGTCTTTGGTTGAATTTCTTATACAGGATTTGGCCATGCTCATGCCATGTTAGCTTATTATTAATGGTGACACCTAAGTACTTGTAAGAAGGTAAAAAAAATTCAAAGTCACCATTCAAATGAAAAGGTCTATCATAGTTGTAGTAGTATTATAATTATAGTTTGTAGTATTATATTATAATTATATATTATAATAACTATAATTAATAATAATAACTTAAACAGTGTACTGATAACTGTAACTTTGATAGTGCCAGTGTAACTTGTACTACAATGCCCAATGAGCTCAATGGTAATTGGAAAAACTTCATAACTCCATACTTACACTACTTAATCATTAATCATACGTAAAAAACAATTACTTTCATTTTCATGCTCACAATGTTGAATATTTTAAACAATAGTTGAGACGTAGTAACCGTAAGTAACGCAACTTTTGTCATTTTCGCCTTGATGACTAACAACTAGGATATTCATTCGACTGATTCGAACTCCTCTTTGGGTTTGGCTATCTTCCCACCCATTATTTTGCTGTTCTTTAACAGGCGCAACGTTTTCCTTGACTGAATTAGCCTATGTTTAAACGTTGAAAATATAATATCGCTGATAATAACCAACAAATATTTACGATGGGTTAAATTATGTATTGAATGACTCTGATTTTGAAAGTTTATGAAACTTGATTTAGCTCATTGGTCTCTTGCGCAGCACATCACAAAGTGCACACTACTCAGTTATAACTCAGTAGGTTAACACCGAATACAAAATTAACATACGTACCATCATTCTGTTTATGCACTCGCAATATCTTCACAATAAGTAGCTTGGTTAGCTTTTTTAGTCTTCTTTTTGTGAATATAGCGGAATCGGTTTATAAAAGATTATCAGAAACTCATTTAGTAACACAAAACACATAGCGTTTCTCACAATAAGCAAAAGGAAGAAAGAAAACTTGCCTTTACAACAATACGTCTGATTCAACTATGGCGACCGTTTTGGGGATTCCCCGTTCCCAGAGCTCTGCCGTAGAATCTAGGTCACCGTACTTCGTCTTCACTTAACATCCCCCCCCCCCCCCTCCCTTTTTTTTTACTTGCCTTTACAACAATACGTCTGATTCAACTATGGCGACCGTTTTGGGGATTCCCCGTTCCCAGAGCTCTGCCGTAGAATCTAGGTCACCGTACTTCGTCTTCACTTAACATCCCCCCCCCCATCCCTGTTTTTTTTCTTCTCTCTAAAACCAACCTCATTTCAGATAGCAATAATTAACATCTATAAATAGGCGATCTTTGAGGGAAATGTTAACAAGAAGGATTTTTTAAAAATTAATCATTTTTCTCTTGCTTTAATCTTGATCATCTGATTTGATTCATCAGGATAGATTTGCATTGTTATATTATATATTAACTATTCATGTATAATATCGTATAAAAACAGACATTGATTGAATCGTCCCAGATATTTATACAATTATCATTACAAAAAGCTTAAAATAGAGAACAATTTACTTCCATGTAAATACCATCTTTAAGTTGAATGGTTTTACCGATCCAATTACCAGTGCTCAGCCACTATCTCTGTCATGGTCATACAATATGGTTGTCAAATCAGGGGCGGAGCTAGGGTACCGGTTTTAGGTTACGGCTGAGAGAAGAACACAAAATCTGTCATTGTTGTGCTAACTTAAAGCAAGCAACATTTTGGGATGTTTGTAGTTTTATCCTAATTTTATGACAATGGTTCAACACAAGGCTGGTAGCAGGGTTGCCACCCGTCCGTGAATTTGAGGAGAGTCCGTAAAAATTTGACCTAATTGTGCGTAAAAGTCAGTCAGTAGCCGTAAGAAGAACTTTAGTATGTCCGATGGGATAGGGGCAAATTTTGTCGATTTCTGACCCCCTCCCCTGATTAACACAAAAAGTTAGACCCCCCCCCCTCCATTTTAACGTCACAAACCTCTGCACCCCCACCACCTCTAAAAAAATTCCATCTGTCCGCTACTGTCCTTTACAAACCCTTAAACAAATCACTTCCATGGACATCGTGCACCTGTGTCACAAATATTTTCCTAGAGCAGTGATTCTTAAACGGCGGCCGGGGGGGGGGGGNGGGGAAGGGGGAGTGCGGAAGACTCAGAATATAAATTTCATTTGCCTCCATTGCTAGTTGTTTCTGCCAGCAGTAATATTTTTATTTTTGTGTGGTGAATTGTGATTGCGCATCTTCTGAATTGGTAATTCCCCCCCCCCAAACCCCTTTTTTCTTTAAAGTTAAGTAAAGAAATGATCTACATTAACTTAATTATTTCATTTAAAAATGTGTTACACTATAATTTACTTGAAAGGGTTGGGAATAGTTACGGAAAATATGTTTTGGAATTGATCGTAATTTAAAAATAAAAATAATTGTAATCGTTGTAGAACAGAGAGATGTTAATAATCTCTATAAGTTAGTGTTTTCCAATAATGTTCCGCTTCTTTAATATGACGTCACACTGTGCAACAGCGGATTCCCCCTCTGTCACACATCGTCACAAAATGTGCCCCCCCTTCCCCAAAGCCATTTTCAGATATGTGACATCTTTAATGGCATCCCCCCCACCCCCGAGTTTGCAGGCTTTATTTAAATTGCTATGCACTGTGGCGCCTCCAGTAACAACAAACCGACCAAGATTTGGTTTTGCCCCACCCCCTACCCCCGAAAAAAACTGAAATGACGCCCCGGGCCAGCCCCCATCCCCAATCTCAACTTGTGTGTGATTTCTTCTTTGCTTGCCTTGAAAATCGTCTGGTTACTGACAGTACTCAGCGGTAGCTACTCAACACTGACGAGAATGCTATACAATACAATAACGTTATAGAATCGGCTCAAGCCTCATGGTCAAATGAGACAGAATCATAAACTGACAAGACATAATCGTGCGGATAATTCATTATTCTTATTATTTTTCGCACGGTTTGTTTATTTTTTTAAAATGTGTCTGTACATTTGTGTGCTTGCCCGTTAAAAAAAAAAAAAAAAAAATTAGATTGAAAATATTTAATATATCAATGTATTATTATTATTTTTTTAAATGGCAACCTTTGCTGGGGGTTATTTGATAAATACGGTAGGTACGCGCCAAATCGTGCAGCACTCCCCAATCCAGCACCCTTACCCGCGTTTGTCATCGGTGCTCCATTAGTGACAAGGAGCATATTTGGGGCACTCATTGGGCATAGTTTTCTCAACTACCAACACATTTCCTAGGTGAAGAGAGCCAACTCCAGCTACAACATCCCAACATGTCTACTTCGTTTTAACTTCTCAAATCCCTGGGGCTGGAGCGATGCACTGTTAACAATCGCATATACTCGTTCAAGATGCGGGAGCAGGGTTTCTTTCAGTTATATCTCGGGGG